GCATCCAAAACTATATAACTCCCACAATATTTCTTTACCACAAATCAAAATTGCCCTTTCCCCAATTTGTTTTCCTATTTCGACGGTTCTTCCACACTTCGGAGTGCTTCGTCACTTCTAAAGTCTCTGGATGATATTGACACTTGGTACTGGCGCACCTCTTCCTTCCAGAACGCCGAATCTCACGGTTTTCATCGCGGCTCACATTATCAAAATTTACAACATCACATCTCCGCCAGCCATTCATCGGCGTGCTGTCTGCGTGCTGCACATAAATAATATCCCACGACATGTCTCGAGATAACTCCTCCCAACCACTAAAATATGCCGCCAGGCACTCAGTGAACTGCCGCACAGTGCTGGCTATCGTGCGGTGCCCACCCGCCGTAGTCATCCGCAGCCCAACCAGCGTCATTGGATTTGAGTCCACAAAGAAAAAGCCGTCTACCAGTGGAACGCTTTTGCCTTTAGGCTCGTACAGCACCCAGTGGTCCATAGCAACCGGATTGGAAAGGCGTTCCGGTGGCGGCAGAACCTCTTTTCTGGTGAAGCTCTTGTCTGAGTGCTCTTTCAGCGCACAGCTGTGTGACTCACGTCGTCCTGGTGGCCTCAGTTCCTTGATTTTAAGTCTTATCGCACGCAGTAAATCCTCATTCAAAAATGCGGATACGGCACACTTTCCAATAAGATATGGTGGGGCATAATCCCAGAACCTCAAAACAAAAAAAATAAAATCGGACTGCTTCATTTCACTCTCCAACCTGGACAATGTTTCACCTTCGAGATGGGGAGATACCAGCAAATTCAGAGGCGATCCAATGTTGTTTCCTCGTCGTACTCGGACAACCCTCACAAGCTTTCGAGACAAGTCATTGTCATTGGACGAGTAACAGCAGCCAATACCCAAATTACGCTCTAATTCAGAGGCGGTCGACCCATCCACGGCCTGCTGACACGCCTTAATGCGGTCATCACATGCCTGTTTGCCAAATATGAAGCGGAGAATTGGTCCCACGTTATTCATGCGGCCCCTCACCTCCTTCCAGTATTCCGCTTGCTCCTGCGGAATCTGATTGCGCTTCATCCAAATGCACATTGCCCTCACATCGTTTTCTTCGGGACAATTCGTTACGATTGCAGTAGCGTCCATTTTTTTTGTCCACCGTTCATTTTCGTTTTTGTCTGGTGGTGTCACCACAATCATGCCCCATCCCTTGCAAGGCAAACCGGCAGGCGGTTGACAACCCTTCAATGCCACGTCGTAGATAAAATACCCCTTAAAACCCCACGCAAAGAAAAAATTTTTACAACATCCTCAATCCTGGGGTCACCCTTGTACGTCGACACCGTTTTTGTGATCTTGTCAAACAGAAATGCTTTTCTCCCAATAACGTACGCAACCACTTGGAGTCTCTCCGCATCGCAGTGCAGCAGCTGGTAGAGGAGGTACGAGCCGGCATTCATCGATTTCCCGATCCCGGGCGTCCCAATCAACACACGCTTCTTGGGCTTAAAGTCGGTCCCACCGCGAGTGCTGAACAATTCGGTGAGATCGCCCTTGACGATCTGCCACACTCGATCCACCTCACAGTTCACATAGCAGTCACGAATGGAATTATTCTCCTCCCACGAGTACGGCCATCCCCTCTCCGAGGTGAGCACCATCAGCCTGGGACGTGGTGCCCCGGATTGCTCCACACCGTCATCCTTTTCGAGGGTTCGGCCAACTGCCTTGTACGTCCATGACTGCGGTGGTTCCCCCTCCCTCACCTCCAGTCCCGTCTCCTCGCCGTCACATACTTCCAAGACATGATGCCACCTCGCATTGTACACAGACTCGTACAATCCCTCCAGTTTCATCGGTGCACTCTTCGTCATTGGGCTCATCAATTCAATGAAGGCTGCATCCAATAAACGTATGGTGAGGTTATGAGCATTTGCTTTTACCTCCCCGGCAGCTAATGACCACTTCAGTAGATTGCTGACACCTTTCTCGCAAAGCCTGCGTACAGCTTCTTCCAAATACATTTCCTCCCTCACAGTCCCCTCCATCCTCGCATAAGCATCTGATGCCTGTACTTCGACCAATACTCCCGCATCGTGGATATACCTCGTGGGATCACTAAAAAAATCCTCCAACAAGACATCCTGATTGGCGCGCAAAATGCCTTTGCCGTCCATTTCCAGCGTAAGAAAATCATTCAGCTTCATGTCCTTGACGCAAACTCTTCCTTTAAACAGTACATCTTCGACCGTAGTAGTTAGGGTAAATTCTAATTGTTTTTCCCGCCTTGCCCTTTCTCCTGCCTCACGCCTCGCTTCACTCAGTACCTGAGTGAGAACTCCGTTTAGTTTTCTCCTTGCAAGTGGAGCGACCGTATCCTTTCCTTCATAGTCCCTCCATTGCTCGAGAAAGTGCACACCCTTGTGATGAAGTTTGTACACCTGGTACTCTGTTAAATTAAAAATTCTTCCAAGAAGCCGCTGGTCTTGTACGTAAGCATCCGGCTCCTGAACAAACACCTGCATCGTCACATTGGAGTCTTCACCAACGGCCGCCCTACCGCCAACATAATTCCGAAGGAAATTATTCAGCTTCATGTCGGTCCTGTTAGTGCTTCCCTCCAGCAGGATGTCCTTCACGGTGCCGTTCATGGTAAACTGTTGTTGCCGCGCTTCCTCCACTCTTATGTGTGTCGCAGCGGGTTGATCTGTCTCACCCTCAGACTCCGGCCTCGCTCTCCTCTGACGAACTCCCTGCGGCGCGGCAGACGCTCGACTCCTGGCATTGCCACCTTGCACTCTATTGCGCTTTGGAGGCATTTTTTCCCTTTGTTTTCTTGGTTGGATTAAGTTAAAGCTGAATACTAGCCAACAAACGAGAGAAGAATAAAAAAGAAAGAAGATAATCAAAGGAATGACTGGCAGCCAAAACAAGAGACTCATCCACACAGTGTGACGGCACAGCAGACGCTTGATTTCCAGGCATTGTTTACCTTTGATTTCGTAGTTGGGTTGAGTTAAAAATGAATACTAACCAGCAGTCAAAAGGAAGACTATAATAAAATACGCACAGGAATGACTGACAGCCTCAGCACGAGAGTCACCTACACGGTGTGAAATGCACACAAAATGCACAAGGACCGCCGCAACGACGGCGAGTGAATGCCATTCACCCAGCACAGTGTTGGAGAGAGCCAACAACAACAACAACGTGGTGCGCACGGAGGGTTCGCCCACGCATCCCGTTCGTTACGGTCCGCACCCCTGTGGCACCGCCGTCACCGCACACACTTGACAAAAGGACGTGGGCACATAAACTTAACAAACACACAAAAGTTGGAGAAATCGGTGCAGCGGCCACACGCAGGAACCCCAAATCGTAAACTCCGCAACAGCGATGCATCATGGCAGTTTCCCCACACAAGAAAAACGAAAAAAACAAATTACATGCTTTATGAAAAATTCCCGCAATTCGCACAGCACAAAAGAACCATAACGCTCCCTTTCTTACTGCATTCGCCATTCATATTCCCAATGCGTAACCCTGCAGACATTACCCCTCCATGGTAAAAACAACTGCCTCGTTGTGGTGTCATCGCGCAGCCATCCGCCTGAGTAAGAACGAGAAGAAAATCAGGCGTCCGTCCACCTGGAGGGAGGGAGGGACTCCACCGCAGTGTCCTCCATGACGCAGACACTCCGCGGTCAGTGCCCGGTGTCGTGTGCGGAGTCCGCGAGGAGGTTTTGGGCACGCCACTGTGCCACGCGTCGTGTCCCCTCGGAACGTAACAGCAGACATGTTCTCTTCCGGTCGCACTCGTGGCGGTGGTGGCATCCACTGCCTCGTTGCGTGCTGCTGGCGTCGACTACGATGCTGCGGTGTGATAGAGGGTGCCCGGCACGAGCGGTGCTGGGCTGGGTGGACAGTGCCCTCCGCGGCGAGACACCCAGCGCGACCCTTGACCGCTGCGCTCACGCAACTCCCTCCACTCCTCTCCCTCCATTCGGCAATCACACAGCCGCCGGCACATTGTCCCCGAAACAACACACACGTGAAAACGTGGCAGCATATTCTCCGAGAGAACAGAGTGACTGCCACACGCTGCGGCCATCGTGCCGACAGGTGTGCCCTCGGACAACTTTGTTTTGGGGCCACACGCACACCACGCAGGGATCACCCACAGCAACGCAAAAAAAAAAAAAAAAAAAGAGAGAGCCACGCACGTGAAAGGACAGAAAAACACGCAGCAGAGGTGCAGGACGGACAAAGAGGAGAAGAGAAGGCCAATAAGGCTCGAGATGGCACGGCAACCCACAAGACGCTTAAAGAAACAAAAAAAAAAAAAGTTAAAAAAACAGAAATTAAAACGCAAAAAACAGTCCCCTTGAAGAAGTTTTTCACGCTCACAAAAAACAAGAAAATTGAAACGAAAAAAAAAAGATTCCTTGAAGCAGTTTCCACACCCATAGAAATATAACAAAAAAAGAAAAAAGAAAAAAATCGTGACGAAAAAAAACAAAAACAAAAAAAAAACACGTGTATATTCTTCCCGCAAAAGTAAAAATATATTTGCTTCAGCCGTTCAGCCTCCTGGTGTCCACACAACACCCACATTTCATTCGGACATTCAGTGCGTTGCTGCACATCTTAAATCCCTTCTTCACCGCACCATCGTCGTGGCGCTCAATGCCGACTGCACCTGTCGTCGGCCGACGGAAACACCAAAGACATCCCGCCAATCTCAAAATATTCCACTATACAAAAAAAAACAAGCATATAAAATAAAGCAAAAACAAATACCTCGCGGTGCAGTCCCAGGAGGGAGAGCACGCCATTTACATAGCGACTTGCACGGACAGAAAGGGGTAGTCCAATCGACAATAAAAACGGATAAAACAAAAGTTGCATCCACACAAAAGTCAATTATTTCGAAGAGTGAGTGGAGAGATACATATAGCTCCCGCTGGTGGCAGGAAATCCTCACTGCGATTTCTCATTAAATGGCCGCAATGCCCCACATCCCCAGCAGAAGCAGCAGCACCCGAGACATACCTTCACGCATGGAGCCGTCACCGCTTCTTTTTTTATCTTCACCGTCACCGCTTCCTTTTTTATCTTCACCGTCACCGCTTCCTTTTTCTTCTTTGGGTTTCCTTTCCTTGATTGCATTCATCTCAGTGGAATTCAGTGGGCGGTTGTACAGAAAGACGTTCGCCACCGTCACAGGAGAGTTTTTTATACCGCACGCGCCAAAGCAAAATCTTAAATACTCAAGTGGCCTCTCACCTGTTAACGGCAATTCTTCCTCCCCCAGCGACTTGCCATCAACGTACACGGAGATCTTGTTACCTTGCAGCATGAGTGCCACTTGGTATTCTTTCTTCGGCTCCCAAGTGCCACTTTTTGTTGTCTTCTTGCTTTTGAATATAGTTGCCCATTCTTTATCCGCGGTATACAAGATTCCCATGGTAAGCGGGGAATTAGTTTCCCCCAACGCCGCACCCAGTAGAGGAGCGTCCTCACTCGGAGCCTCTTCGATGGTCACCGACGCCACAAGCGTGAAGTTGTGGCTCAAGGATATATGACGCACATTATTAGCCCAAGTGTTCACAGGCCACATTGCCCTGGAGTCAGGCTCC